ACAAAATAAAAAGACATTGTTTTGCCTCACCCAGTGTTACATATTAGAGCATATAATTCTAAAAATATAAACAAAAATAAAAGAAGAACAACCTCGCATCATCCTCCACTCTAGCATTTACTTAGTTACTTGCTTGTTTGTACTTCGAATAGGAGCACATACCACAACCACAACAACAAAGGGTGAGAAATCACATTAATAAAGTAACTGGTATGATGAAAGTCCGTCATTGCATAAATTTAGTTAAAGAATTGGATCAAAATAAGTTAAAGAGGAGCTAAAATGAAGGAGAAAGACCAGAGAATAAGGAAAAAATAGTTAAGTGTGAAGAAATTGAACTTAGCAAAAAACTAGGTGAAAAAGGAGCAAAAGCATGTAACTACTGGAATAATTACGCGCAACATCGTGCAACATTGCGAGCATGATAGGACTGTATTAGATGCATCACGCATGCGATGACCCTTTTTCTATCGCAGTCTAGTCCATTATGAACTCTTTTTAAGGAGATTTTTTGTATATTTGCAAGGGTTACAAAATTTGGCCCCGCAAGTACGAATTTTACAACATCAAAGGTGATTTGGAAAGAATTTAAATCCATTGGAGGTCATTCCTTCAAGGGATCTCATATACATTTCATTCTAATTGTTTTTGGTATTATAAACTGAAATATGAGTAGCTAAACTCCTCTAGGTTAGGTTGTGCGTGATGAACCTATTTCAATATTGTTAGGCAATATGTTGATTTGACTTCACATGAATAATTTAATCTATATCTCTATTCAATTGCTTATTGTTCTTAATTCTTTTTATGTGAGATACTATTTTATTTTAATTTTGGACACATAAGGAATACTGACCATTAGTTTATATGTTGGATCTAGGGCAATTGTTGTAGTTATGTTATATGAAGGAATAGGAGACCCCGAGTAGTGGCATAGTGAATTAACGCTATGTACATCGTTTGTTCTTGCTTACATTGGTGGATTAGAGATAGGAAACTCCAAGTAATGATTAGTGAGATATTTTGCAAGGGATTGGTTATAGCAGTTTTGTTATTTCGTCGTGGGATTATAGTGATAAGAGTATTCATGTAAGGCATCAAATATCAACAATAGATAAATAGGGGATTCAAAACATAAGCTGTCTGCTTTCATAATTTTGTCTAAACACTTATTTACTTTTTCTCAAAGCAAACTCGAAAACCCCCATTTACTATTTTATACACATTGCACAATTTTTGTCTTGTTAAAAAGCAGTCCTTGTGGGTTCGATCTTAATTATTATTGCAACATTATCGTACACTTGCCGAGAAGTCATCATGGTACATACTATAAGGTAGAGTATCAACACATATACACATTCTACAATAATTGCATCACAACATCTCACGAACACATTCGCACGCTAAATCTCAACAATCACATACAAAGTAACACCATGGATACAACTCATTTATGCAATGCAACTCGACGATGCAACTCGATTCATATGCATGTGGTACCATATCATCAAAAGGTTCCTTAGAGAACCAGTTTCACCCTACTCGAACCCCGAATACGCCCTACTCGGATTTGGGACAAGTCATCAATCCACCCTGCTTGGATTGCATCTTGCCTCATTCATCATCAACAACAACGACATCATAAATGCATGTCAAAACACGTCAATGCAACAAAAATAAAATGCTTAAAGTCCCCTCCCAACATAAACGAATCATGCATTGAACCAACAATAATAATCCTTTCTACTCGAACTATTACTCACCAATAACATCAATATTATTCTCGACATCATAACACAACAACATCATAATCATCATCAACATCATACACAACATTAACATTATACACAACAATATAATAATCATCATTTACATCATACATAACATCATAATCATCATTAACATCATCAATTGTCATGCTCACACAACATCACATACTTATCACAACTTACAATGTCATCAATATTCAACATTTATATTGTTTCCAAATTACAATTATTATTCTCAAACATGATAACACCATCACAATGTAACTTCAACAAATACACACAATTCTCATCAATTATTCATGTCATCACGACACATTCAACCCTTGAAACTAATTCCATTTAATGGTAAATCACATTAGCTTTCTAGCGCGTCGAACCACATTTTGTTTGGGCTTACAAATTAAAAGTTATGACCAAAACAACCGGCGAACCAATAGATTGCCACCGCAGACCAATAGATTGATTCTCATGAGCCAATCGATTGTCGCCATAGACCAATAGATTGATTCCCATGAGTCAATCGATTGTCTTAGCTCTTTGTTACATATTCTTTCGATTTTTCCAAATAGCCAGTAGATTATTTTCCATAATTAATAGATTGATTAAATACAAATTCTAGTTTCTCAAAGCAAACTAGTAGATTGGTTATTGTAGCCAATAGATTGGCCCAATACAAATTTTTCGTTTTTTAAAGTGAGACGCATAGATTGGTTATTATAGCCAATAGATTGGTTTGTGAAGTTTTTCCATCTTTGTTTTCTCTATTATGATCATCCTTTCCATATCCAACCTTTAATCCTCTAAACCAGTCCCAATTATAACATTCTAAATTACACCAATTTACATTCTAACAACACCAATACATCTATCCTTCTCTAATGAACATAAACATATCAATTTTTTCATGAACTAATCACTTAATTTCATACCTAGAAACACTCAATTTCACATCAAAACTTAAGAACACAACCTTATAACAAAAATATATCATTGCAATTCAAATTAATGCATATAACAGCAGATTCACCATCATATATTAATCAAGAATCAATGAATAAGCAAACTCTATTGGAGGTTACAGACTCCTCTACTTTACCCCTCATGCATATACCCTTTATTAAGGTTACTTTCTCCCCTTACTTTGTGATTCCAGTAAAAACAAATAATCTTTATGGTCTCCTCTCCTAAAGCTCTAACTCTCCTATTGTTCTTCTCTTTACTCTAGCTCTTTCTCTCGTTTTGCCTCTTTTTCAACATATTGATATAACTCTTTCCTCTTAACTCTATTTTTAAAATAAAAACCTAATTCTCTCATTAGGATATTCCTATCTTACTCTCACATTTTTCCTTAATCCATACACTATACTCAATATATCTACAAACTCCTATTTTGCCTTTATCTTATTATTTTATTTAAATAATAAAACTAGTGCATTGTTTTAATTAGTGAAATAATTCTAAATAAAGTCGACCAACTTCTAATCACTTTTTACACTCTCCCTTCACGGTCACACACTCTGTCACACTTATTTATCAATTCACACACAATAATTAAATAAAATACATATAAATCACAAAGAATTCACAAATAACTCAACTAAAATAATTTAGTACAAAATGGGGTGTTACACATAGCCCATAAATGCATAGTCAAACAAAATGCACATCAACATAACAATTCTTAAGAGGTCAAACATAAAACATAGTGTCGTTGTCGTTCCTCCAACAAAGGACATGCAAATTCCAAAAATGAGCCACCTATGATGGCAATGGGATATATATTATCTATTAGTCATCGATAAGTTGAAGAGTCGCCAAAAGCGATTCACCTTTTGTCTAAGGGCACAAACCGATTAATGGAGAAAATGAAAGATAAACATTAGTTGAGGAAGCGTTCATAGAAGATATACGTGGAAAAAGTAAAAATAAAAAAAAGGATAAAAATATACATATATCAAAAGAAAATAAAACAAAATACATTAAAAATCTGGTTTGTACACTTAGAGCAAGTAACAATACAAAAATATGGGATTGGATAGACGCACCACGACCTCCGAAAACTATAATCTATTTAATCATACCATCTTAAGAAAATCTTGCAAATATCCATATCTGTGGTGTTAAGATGAACTATAGGGTTTAGGAGTTGTATTTGAACAATGACATTTTAAAAATAATATGGGAGAACTTCAAAATATTCTCTTCGTCCTCAACATAAATCTCCCATGATTTAACGTTCTTTGTAGTAATAAGTTTAATTTTCTCTTCAACTTTTTCTAGTTGATCTTAAGCACAAAACTTCTCCGACTTAACATTCTCTATAGTCAGAAATGCGATATCCTTTTCATCCCATTTGCAGTTGGCCTTCAACAATTTGTTTTTCCTCTAATTATATAGTCACCAAGGAATCAACAATACATTCCCCAACAAGGATGAAAAATTGGTGTTTCACTTCCTTTAAGTCCTCCACTTCCCACCTCTAAGCCTTATAGTTCTCGTTTGCCGCTTCTAAAAGACTTCAACATTGCCACAACTTTTTCATCTTTAGCTAAGTTGTCTTTCAGTTTCTCCACTCGAGTCATATCACAACGAGCATCTTCTCGAACTCAGGCAAGTTGATGTCTAAGTTATTCCTCGTTAGTAAAAAGTCCTTCCTTTATAGTCAAAGCAAGATAAGAAATGACCATTAGACGAACAATATAAAGAACACACTCGACCATTACAACTTGACGTCTCAATGGTCCTATATCAGCCACCCTATTAGCGTGAACTCTCAACACCGAAAAACGTAAACCGTATAGAATTGAATGGCATGTGATCCATTCCATCACTTACTCCATTTTTTATATCTTTGATTTGAGCGATAAAATGATAAAATTGTCTTATTCCCTTATAATTGGAACATATCCAAAACAACAAAAGTAATTCTCTTGCGGATTTATTCCATTCCACTTGTTCTATTTTATTTTATTCAAAAATATACAAACATAACTTAACCCATAAGCATGGGTTTAAAAATCAACAAGATTGGCTAATACTAAGCATGATTAGTACTTTCCTAGAAAAACATGATTATAACCAAGAGTGAACAACAACAAAAAACCATGGAAAGAATGAAAAAGGAAGTGAAAATCTTATTTTGGCGGTAATAGACAGAAATTCTGTTGCAAACCAAGTAGCAGTGCGTGTGTCCGAATCAAACAAGTGCGAGCGAATTGATCTGAAAGCATCATGAACAAGCCTCCACGAGAAGATGACCGTAACAACACTGCCACTACTCTCGACTCCAGATTCAGCCAAACCCTACGAAATGTTCAAGGGTGCGTTTCTTCCTTTCTATTCCCATTTTCACATAGATCTAGCGATTCACTCGTTCTTGTAATCAAATTCAATTCCTCAATTCATCATCTGCACCTTCAAATTCCTTCTATCTCTTCGTTTCTGATTGTTATTATTATTATTGAGATATATCTAGGATTCGCATAATTAATAATTAGGATTTCAATTTTTATGTAATTATCTCAATTAGATTGATTCATAAATTAAAATTGTTTTTTTTTCCCTTTATTAGTTTTTATTTTCAGTTTCTGCTACAACTTGAATCAGATAGGTCACCCTAGGTTTGGATTCTTTTTAATTACAGACAAAAAAGTGATTTTTACATGTAGCATTGATTTTGCATTTGGGTTTGGATTCTTTACATTAATGTATCTAAATATACATGTCATTTTCATTTATATTCAAGTCATTATTCGTAGCCTGAGAATGATTTGCAACTTAGTTTAGTAATTGATAGCAATTTATGTACCCTTTTTATTAAGGTTACTCAAAGGTCGTAGCATGCCCGGTAAAGTATTGCTGAGCAGAAGGTCAGAGCCATCCGATAACTCTAACTCGAAGGTATCCTCAACGTTTTACAAAAGGAGTTTCTCGCAAAATGATGCTGGCACGAGCGATCACCCATCTGGTGCAGTAGAGGTGATCTTAGTATTCTTAATTATAACATTTCTTATATGTTGCTCTAAGTTTGATGGGAATCAGTTCACTGAGTGGGGATTTATACTCTTAATACAGGAGGAAGTTCAGAGTACAAGTAAACCAGTCAGTGTTGCTAATGTTAGTAAGTTAAAAATATCAACCTCCCATGGGGAAAGAGATAACTTATCTGAAGATATCCGCAAATATACGATGGGCACTAGAGCGACGGATTCAGCTAGAGTTACAAAGTTTACTAAAGTGCTTTCTGGAACAGTGGTTATATTAGGTATATTAACTTTCATACTTCAGTTGTCCTATGTATTAGCTTCTTCTTTGTTACTCCTACATGGTCAGATCCACTTATTGTATTTGCTAGGTAATTTTGAATAATAATATCTTGATCTTATCTTAGAGTATCTCAAATTATTTCTTAGGATTAGTTTTCACAATTGTTTATATTTTATGATTTTTTTTTTTTTAAGTTTTGGTTAGGAGTTGAACATGATATATGATATTGCTTGAACTTTATCCATTTTGTTTTACTAAGCTGTAAGCCTTTCGGAAACCTATTTTTGCCTACCAATGGAAAGTATTTCTTCCCTGACAATTTGACATCCATGTTGTAGACAAATTGCGGGAATTAGCTTGGAGTGGTGTTCCAGATTATATGCGTCCTAAAGTATGGAGACTCCTCTTGGTAAGCGCTATGGACTTTCAGCTATTTCGCTCGCACTAGTTTATGCTTTGATCATAACTCAGTCATATGAAGCGTGATAATAAGGAACTATTGAGCTCATTTAAATTGATAAGACAAGTAGGTTCTTATTTTATTTATTAATGTCTTAGCATAAAAGTTTTGTTCAGCGAGGCTGAGCTATGGAATTATTCTCTCATAAGAGACCTTGATGCTGGCCACATGTGTTTTGCAACAAAATTATATGGGAGATTTTAGAAAAGAAGAATTTAGTGTATTTGTCATATAGAGAATCATTAAGGGGTCAAACTAATTGACATCCCATCACACCTTCTTACAGACAACATTTTGTCTTCCTGGAAATTTAAAGATAAACTGACAACAGGGATATGAACCACCTAATTCAGATAGAAAGGAGGGAGTTCTGAGAAGGAAGCGTGGAGAGTATCTTGACTGCATTTCTCAGTATTATGATATTCCTGCTTCAGAACGTTCAGATGACGAGGTCACCATGCTTCGCCAGGTATTCTTAGCTCTAATATATTCCTATCTTGATTATTTGTGAAGACAGTATTATTGTTTTTGACAGCTTCCGTTGTATGTTTGTTAGATTGCCGTTGATTGTCCAAGAACTGTACCCGATGTTCCTTTCTTCCAGCAACCGCAAGTTCAGAAATCATTGGAACGAATTCTTTATGCATGGTAAGATATCTTTTGTTACCCATTTTTTGGCCCCACTATTTTCTTAGGTGAAGGGTGGCTCTTAGCTTGGCTAAGAAAGTCATACACCACAACTTCCTTCCGTACCACTGTGTACTCACTAGATACTGGTATTTGATCTGTATCCATTACTGTATGGCAATCCTTTAGGAGTATCTATGCATCATATGTTATACCAGTTTTAGAAAATGGGACTTCTACTTGCTTTTTAATTACTGTACTTAATTTAGCACTAGTACAAAAAGAGTTACCAGACAGTGTTATTGCTGTGTTAGAGTTTGTTGCTATATCTCCTTTAAGTAAACTGGTACATATGGTTTCATTGTCAACTGTGAATAGTACTGAGCGATACTCTTGGTGAATATTGGAAGTGGCATAGTCACTTATTCCCTTCTAGAAATGGTTTGATTTTACTTATATAATTTCCTGATATTTTGTCAGGGCCATTCGACATCCTGCAAGTGGATATGTTCAGGGGATAAATGATCTCGTTACACCATTTTTGGTTGTTTTTATATCAGAATACTTAGAAGGGGGTATAGATGATTGGTCCATGTCTGATTTATCTTCCGACAAAATCTCTAATATAGAGGCTGACTGCTACGGGTGTTTGTCAAAGTTGCTTGATGGTATGCAAGACCATTACACATTTGCTCAACCTGGAATTCAAAGGCTTGTTTTTAAATTGAAGGAATTGGTCAGGAGGATCAATGGTACACTTTTTTCCAAGGCATTTTATTTTCTTTTAAGCATTGCTATAATTTCATGAACTTATATGGATTTCATACCATTGATATTCTCCCGTTCTCTGAAAACATATAACTTATCAGACTAAGAAACACTATTATTCTACCCGCATAGCGATGTAAAAGAGATGCTGGAAAACTGTTGTTCCCATTCTCTAGGTTTGGAGCATTTGTTGTTGCCACCCTATATTCTTATTGAAGCTCTTTAATGTATGAATAGTGATTGAGTATACTTTCTGATGTTTGGTTACAATCAATTATGATTTTTAGTCAGTTTGTGTGTTCATTTTGAAGTAATTTACCTCTATCCTGTCTATCCCTTGGTTAAAAGATGCATAATTCATTGATATGAATTAATAAAAACCCGATCATTATTTTCTTGCTGTATTATTATTACTATTCATATGTCTTCAAATATAATCTGATCTAAAGATCCCTCTGTTGAAACTTTTGAGCTGCACCAGAGCCTGTTTCACAACATATAGAGGATCAGGGACTTGAATTTCTTCAATTTGCTTTCCGCTGGTTCAACTGTCTTCTAATCCGCGAGGTTTGTCCTGGCCATTTTTCCCTTACAAGTAGGATAATTTGAGTCACCTTGGACAAAGTTTCCAGAAGCACTTATGGAAAATGAAATATTATCTCTTATAATAACTCAGTTTTTTATATAGTAGTTTCATTTATATCTGTATAAGCTGAAATTAGTTATGCAGATCAATTTTTTCCAGATGTTTTCTCTTTTAACTTGTCAATAAATATATACAAGATTATTTTTGGAAATGATGAACCATAAAATTATTTTAATTGAGAAGCTCTCGTTAAGTTAAAAACTAATTTAAAGTGTATCTTTCTCGAGAGCAACATTGTATGTGTCACTTAGTGACTGAATGGTAAAATGGACTATGATAAACATGGGTTGATTTATGCTTTAACTGAGGCTAATGTCTGATTGTATAACTAGATACCATTCGATCTCATCACGCGCCTTTGGGACACATATCTAGCTGAAGGAGATGCCTTACCAGACTTCCTCGTGTATATATTTGCCAGCTTCCTTCTAACGGTGAGCTAGCTTAATTTGGCCTTTTTACTAAAATAATGTATTTGAATTAGAGTTCATCTTTTAGTCATGCTGATTAGGAATGGTATTTATTGGTCTTGTTAATATGTAGTTTTTACCTCTTCCGCTACATGCCAGCTGATAATGCTAAACCCAGTTTCAAGTTTTTGTTTGCTATAAAACAAATTTGTCATTTGCTGTCACGCCACTTTCGGTTTTAAGATAAACTCCTTTCCTAGAGATGTCCTACTGTATCTGGATGTTTTCACTGTGCATTGAACACGGATATACTTGTATTTCCTAATTGTCTATATCTGCATCTGCACGCGCACACACACTTGTTATGCATTTCTCTCTGTTGTATATCAAACAGTTGCTTAGGTTATTAACACATTCTTCTTACTTTTTTTCGATGCTTAAAATGTAGAAACTATAACTGATTTTTCTAAATGTATATATATTTTTTCTTTAGTGGTCAGACAAGCTACCGAGCTTGGAATTCCAGGAGTTGGTAATGTTCCTTCAACACCTTCCAACTCAGAATTGGACTCACCAGGACCTTGATATGGTACTTTCTCGGGCATTTATGTGGCACAGCATGTTCAACAACTCTCCAAGTCATTTCTCTAGCTGAGCAGGCAATTGTGGTTTTCTCAATTTAGTTCTCCTTCAATTTCTACCCATCTCTGATTTCCATCAGTGTTGCTCTTGCTTAGTGTATGGTGCTTTATTGTCGATGAATGGTTTTTTTTCAACCGATTGAGTATTTTTGTAAAGGAGAGACAAATAAATGATTGTCTCAGTTTTGTTGTATTTATATATTTTCCAGAACATCAACAAATATCCAGTTTGTGTCCACAAGTGTGTTCTTTTCTAATGTATGCCAGTTTGCCTGTACACATTACTTATAGAGATATGCTAAAACAGTGTTTGTTTGGAGAAAATGAATATGCTAAATGTCCGAAACTTTCATTGTTTGACCAAGAGCTCAAGTATAATAAAGCTTTCATATCCCACTTGGAGACCAGAGAATCAGACATAAACTATCAATAGCAGGTTCAATACCATTTTAGGTATGAAAATTGCAAAGAAAATTCATGTTCAATATACTTGATATGATAGACATCAAACAATATCACTATATAGCCATAAGTTCTCATTCCTCAAAAAATTAACAACTGTATAAGATAGTGAAGTGATGGTGTGATACATTGAATTCGGGTTGACTTCGCACAATCAAGTAGGTACGGATAACCTAATCTTATTCCTCTTCCACTTCGAGTCCGGGTACATATTCCAAACTTACATCAAATATAACTGGACTATTCGGAGCCACCCTTGGTCTTCCTGGAGCAGAATTAAGCCCTTTTGGAAATGCCAACTGCCAAACAAGAAAACAAGGATATTTAGCCAACAGTTAGAATTAAATACTCATCCAATCAAGAGAGAAGCTTACTGATCCAGGTATGTACAGCCGACGTTTCCCGCCTACTTTCATGCTTAAAAGACCTTCATCAAGTCCTTTTATCACCTGTTATCTCATTGAGTCGAATACAGTTAGTCTTCGGAAGGACTATCAAACACTTAGGCCTCAAAACTACATTTAGGGTTTACCTGACCAGATCCAACTCGAAAAATGTAAAGCTGGCCTTTCTCCAATGAACTGCAATTTGAAAGAAGGAAAAGAACATCACACAAAATGCACCTTTGTTAGGGTCTTACTAACAACCTTCAACTTCAATAGTACTAGCTGTTTAAGGACTAAGAAGTAAAGAAAGATTGATAGAACTTGGTAATCGGAGGATACCTATCAAATATTTGTCCAGATGGAACCATTGCAACATAATTAGCAGCCACCTGTCAGAGAGCCATATGAAAATGTAGTCAGTCTTGCTTTATCGATCTCGATCGAAATTGGCATCGGCTGGCTTTTTGAAAATGGCCAAGATGACCACGAGCATGCAAGACAAACCGAACAAGTCAGTAGATTTTACAACACACCTGAAATCCAACTGGTGGACTAGGGCCTTGCCCAACCTTAATATCCTTGTATTGCAAACCTGATTCAGTAGTTACCATAGGCACCTTCATACATAAAATCGATATTAAAAACTAAACGCGATGCAACCAACCGCGCGAAATGTGAATGCATTCTCTGCAATGAGGTAAGGCATAAAAATAGGACTATGTAATGTAATGTAATGTAATGTAATGTAATCTCACCATACATTTTCAAGCTCTTTCTCACAATTACTGTCACATAGTTTAGGTTTTTCTTCTGGTGGCAAACCAGCTCCATTGGCAGCATCAAATGAATGGATAAAAAGTGTAGAGACTCCTCCTAATGCTAATCCAAGAAACTCTCTACGTGAATTGATAATAAACATGGCATTATCATTAGCATTAGAAGTGGATTTTCTTGTCTCTGAGGACTTCACTTTAAGAACAAATCTTCTAACAGAAGTGCCTTGAGGAGCAGCAGTAAGAGAAGGAATTTTACCACAAGTAGAATCTAACAAAAAGGAACAGATGAAATATAAATTAACATTGAAATTGAAGAGTTGTGAGGAAAACAGAAAGTGAAATGACTTACAAAGTGGAAGCAGAAGAGAGGAAGCCATGCTAGGCATATCCAAGGATGTTGTAGTATTGTGTCATGTGACGGTGATGATGTTGTTTTTTGCAAATGGATAAACCAAATCTAGTTTGAAACAATAAACATGGAACATTAGATTGTGGTCTGTGTTTTTTCAGGCCATAGATACTCTTCCGCGTGGCAGATAGATATCATATCAATTTAGTAGAGTTGGAGCTTGGAGAGTTGCTATCCGCGCACTATCTTTGATACAATACACCTCCTAGTAAAAGAAAATTGAAAAAAAAAAGGAGCTGCTTAATTTTTTTAATTGTTTTTTTAAACACAAATTTTATTAAAAGATTTCATAAGGCACGATCTTAGAGAACTTAAATCCATCACCCATTTGAAATATTTAAATGAATCATACTCAATGTTTTACATTATAACATACTTTTTTAATTATTTTAATAACTCAACTATATTTTTTAAGCATCATAACCTATCAAAAATCTTATTAGACCCTACAATTTATATTATATAAAAATATAATTAAAATAAATTAATTCAAATATATCAAAATACATTGAAAAAACATACATTTAAAATAAATATATATTAAAGTGGAAGCATTGTGAAAAATGAAAAAGGGAAAAAAGTGAAATTCTACATTTTCTTTAGCAACGAGCCTACATACTATAAATAGGTCTGTTATTGTTAATTTGTTAGAGTGAATTCTCCTCTAACCGTTTCAAACACAAAATAAAACTAACTCTAAAGAATAAGATTGAATATAAAATGTTATATTGTAACACCCTTATGCAAACTGAAATGTATGCTGATTAAAAATTATTATGCTATTTTCTTTTATTGGTTTTCTATTTGATTGTCTATTTTGATAAATTTTATTAAAATTGTGATGGTCTGAATCAAATTTTTAAAACCGACACAACAATTATATTAGTTTTCAATGTTCCTATTCCGTAAAAATTTTAAAAGTAAATTTTTTTAGATTCTTAAGAAAACGAGACAAATATAACCGTCAATTAAATTTTTACCTAGTTGATAACTAAAAAAGAATTTAATTGTAATATATTGACACCGTAAAAAACAATTTAAGTAATACAATTGAATGATTATAATATATTGATGGTGTAAATTTTTTTATAATATAAGAGCCTTGCAATTAAATTCAAAGTTAAATTTTGACCCCATTAAAATTATAAACATATTAGGGAAATATGATAGTCAAGTTAATAATATCATAGAAATATAAAAATTTATCATGCACGTAAATTTTGACCCCACTAATATTATAGAAATATTATTAATATAATTCATACAAAAATATTGTTATCTTAAAAAACATCATCTATAAAATACCTTTTAAATAATTGTTTATATATTATATAAATTATTTATGAATATGCAATATATATTATCCGTAGTGCTATATTTGTTGTACTTTAGAAGTTAGTGGGGGCACAATATCATTTAAGTAGATTCGTCCCTGATTTTAGAGGGATACAAGTTATATGTCCATGGATCAACTCTTGACAGCATCAACATTTATTTGTATATTCAAATGTAAACAGGTTGTTGATTTTATAAATCAACACCTTTGTTTTAAAAAAAATCAATATACTTTTCTAAACTAAGGAGGAGCTAAGATTTATTCATAATAAAAATTATTCAAAATAAAATTTGTTTGGAATAAAAATTTATTTAAAAATTATGTTTTGTTTTAATTAAAATATTACGGTAGAATTTTTCGGTTTTTATTAAAAGTTGTTGGCAAGTGAATTATGATTTGTCAGAGAACGAACGCGGGACATAATAACTTGATGTGACATAAAGTTATAAATATTTAGATATTTTATAGGTTGTGGGAGTGAGAATGGAGGGTCAAGATTAAGCTCACGTGTCTTATTATTTTAATGTAATGACCATGATCAAAAGGTTTGGCATATAAGTTATTGTCGTGAGTTAATTATTTTTTCTCTCATCACACACATCTCTCTCTTTCTAACCAACACAACATAACCTCTTCACATTTTTATTTTTCTCCTCTACATCATTTCATCTATTTGAAAACTCACACCTTGAACTTAGGTATAATTTTTCTTTCTGTGAGATATTGGATCGAACTCTAGTATGATCGAAGGGTAACTTCTTGGTTCGACAATTCGAAAGAATCTTAGCATGTCGTCGAAGTTTGTTCACATGTTGTAGTCAAAGTATGCTAAGATGGTTAGCATGTCGAATTGGATCTTGGTTGTAAGCCCAATTGTTTAAGTTAGCTTGTTCCCTAAGTTAACTTGTGTAATAGACTTTTTTTTTATAAATAGCATGTCAGTCTCTCATCTTTGGTGTGTGGTATAAATCCTAATTAGGGTGATAGAGGTTATTTGTTATTCTGTAACACTTGTAATCTTGTTTTAAAGAGAAAGTAAAGAATATCAGTTTATAATCAATTTCACTGTGCTCTTCTTGTTTGTTGATCAAGAAACCGATTATACTTTATTATTCTGGTATCGTTTTCACAATAATTAGTGTGGTGAACATGGAAAAGATGTCGTCAATAGAGTATGAGGTTGAAAAGTTCACTAGAGTGAACGATTTTGGTGTATGGCGCTTGAAGATGAAAGTCCTACTAGTTCAGTAGAGTTGTTTAGAAGCGTTGAAGGTACCTGCAACCATGGACGCTGTGTTAACGGACAAAGAAAAAATGACTATGACAGAGAAAGCCCACAACGCCATCTTATTAAGCATTGGTGATAATGTTTTTTGACAAGTTTCGAAGGAGATGATGACGTATGGGTTATGGGTGAAACTCAAAAGTTTGTACATGACTAAATAGTTGGTCAATCGCCTCTACCTGAAACAAACTTTGTATTCATTCAAGATGAGTGAAGACAAAGTTTTGGATGAACAGTTGGATATGTTCAACAAGCTGATTTTTTTATTTTTAAAATATCAATGTCAAGATCGACGATGAAGATCAAGCGTTGTTGATGTTATGTGCTTTGCCCATATCACATGCTCACTTAAGAGAAACTCTTTTGTATGGAAGATAGTCTCTGACCTTTGATGAAGTTCAATCAGCCTTATATTCTAAGGATTTGAACAAAGGAAAGAAGCACAAGCTATCTTCGACTGATGAAGGCCTGTCGGTTAAGGTGAAATTCACAAAGAGAGATGGAAAGTTTGACAAGAAGAAGAGTAAATTTAGCAGAAGTCTTATAGTGGTGATGCATCTGGTATTCGATGTTATCACTGTAAAAATGATGGTCATACAAGAAAAGTGTATCCTGAACGCCTGAAAGATCATGGAGGTAAGGATAGTGGCAACACAACCATTATTCAAGATGATTTTGACTCATATGATGTTCTTGTGATTTCAAGCGGCGACTCAAGTAAAAAGTAGATTATGGATTCAGGTTGCACTTGACACATGACTCCAAACAAAGACTTGTTTAAGGAACTATGTGATCAAGATGGTGGATTTGTATTGCGTGGAAATAATAAAGCTTGAAAGATTGCAAATGTTGGATATGTGATATTCATGCTCCATGATGAGTCAATAAGGTTGTTAACTAGAGTCAGATATGTACCTGATTTGAAGAAAAATTGATTTCTCTTGGTGAATTCGACAAGAAAGGATATGTTTTCAAAGGAGAGAAAAGTATTATGAAAGTCATGAAGGGGTTGAAGGAAGTCTTAAGAGGCGTGACGAAACAAGGCTTGTATATCCTTGAGGCTGAAGTTGTAAGTGGTTCTGCAAATGTTGTATCGACGAAACCTTTGTCGAAGATAGAAATTTAGAACATGAGATTCGGCCATGTCAGTGAAAAGGGTATGGTCGAACTGGGGAAAAATCCTCTTGGTGGAGACAAAATTGAAAAGCTGAAGTTTTGTGAACCCTGTGTACTTGGAAAATCTTACAGAGTGAAGTTCAATAAAGGCAAACAAAGAACATATGGATCCCTTTATTACATCCATGTTAATCTTTGGAGACCTGCAAGATGTCTATTACATTTAGGAGCAAGGTATTTTCTATCCATAGTTGATGATTATTCCAGAAAGTTATGGGCATTCATCCAGAAGACTAAGGATAAAACTTTTGAGAATTTCAAGAATTGGAAGACTCTGGTCGAAAATCAGATTGGTAGAAAGGTCAAGAGGTTGAGAATTGACAATGGCCTTGAATTTTGCAATGAGGCGTTCAACAGTTTTTGTGCAGCCTCTAGTATTGTGAGGCACATAACTATTGCAGGTACTCCCATACAAAATGGTTTGGATGGAAGGTTTAATCGAATCATTTTGGAAAGAGTTAGATGCATGCTGACTAGTGTTGGGTTAAAGAAGGTGTTTTGACCAGATGTTGTTTTGACAATAACATATATGATAAACAGATGTCCTTCAACTGTGTTAGATATGAAGACACGTGAAGAAGTTTGGTTGGGACATCCACCAGATCTCGACAAACTTATAGTATTTGGCTGCATATCCTATGCTCACGTTAGGCAAGACAAGGTCGAACCTAGAGCTCTAAAATGTATGTTCCTTGGATATCTTGAAGAAGTCAAAGCTTATAGGTTGTGGTGGCTAGAGCCAGGTTACAAGAGGTGTATCACAAGTCGAGATGTAGTTTTCAATGAGGCTGAGATGACTTTCAAGAAAATTGATGACATTGGTCAAATTTCGAAGATATCTGAAGAAAAGCTGGAACAATAAGAGACTCCTTTTGAGGTGGAGCATAGTGATGTTGAATTACATAACCCAGATTAAGTCGAAGAAGAAGCAAAAGTTGTTTTCGAAACTAAGGAAATTGTTGGTGACTACCTATTGGCAGGATATAGGTCAAGAAGAGTCATCAAGCCACCTTAAAGACTTGGGTATGTAGATCTTATAGCCTATGCCTTACTCTCTGCAAGTGAGGTTCTAGATGAAGAACATAAAGACTATAAGGGAGTTATGAGAAGTCGAAATAAGACTGAATGAATGAAGGTCATGGATGATGAGATGAAGTCTCTTCATGATAACCACACTTGG